ACATAAACAAGAGATCAAAAGTCATCGGAAGCGTCAGGATCCGAGTAATAACTGTCATAACTGGAAAGCGGAGACGGCTGCAGACTTTTTTTTTACCGATTACCGCGATCCAAAATTTATGAAAACCACAAACCACTTAGTCTTATAAAACCGCAATACCGCAGTTTAAAATAAAGATTTCCGTAAAACCGCACCAAAAATAACGCAAAACCGCATCACCGCAAACCCTTACGCCCCCCTCTGGTACACGACAACAAAAACGCGTTTTGCAACTTCACAGGCGATTCAGTCGGCACCCCAGATGTTTCGGACGCATTTTTGTTTGCACAATTATTTGTGTTTTTTATCGCTCCGTTAGTTGGAATAACCGTTTTGTACACTGCGACAGCAATCGCTTTAAAAAGGCAGAATAGAACTCTCACTGACAACGCACAAAATCTGCAAAGGCATTCTGAAAAGAAACAAAGACAAGCGATTCGATTGGCTGTTATAAGCGTAGCGCTGTTTTATATTTGCGTTATTCCATCGACATTGCTATACTTCGTGTCTTTCTGGGGTTTTTCTTGTGTCTCTCAAAAACTGTATTTTAGTCTGGCGAGTTTTGTGTTTTCTTTCTCTTCTATGGTCAATCCAATAATTTGTCTGTCGTTTGTCGAAAGTTATCGCCGTGGATTACAAAACATTTTATGTCCCTGCACGAAAGCGCCGGACAACATAACGGCGAAACGCTAGCAAGTTACTCTACAAGGAGTGAAAAATGTTTCCGGAGAAAACTGTGGACGAGTTTTGAAAGACACAGAAAACTACAAAGAAACATTCTATACTGCTATGTAGAAAAAGTTCTGAGACGACCCTTAAAGATTTCGCAATGGACAGAAACGCTGGCATGACCTCTTGAAGTAACTGACATATCAAACACGAAAGACCGTGTTTGACAACATTTCCAAACAGTTGTTACAGGGCATTTTACAAGAATTTGTTACTTTTAAATGATTGAGCCGATTCCAAGAAATCTCTATGCTCAAGACGAGATAACATTAAATTGTTCTCCATCCAAGAAGAGAATGATAAAGATACCGAAGAAGTCTTTCGAGATTGCTTGGAACTAGTGCTAGATTACCATGACGCCCGATCTGTTGAAATTCAACGAGTACATTCGTCTCAACCGAGGGGTCCACGGTCGATACTCCGAAGAGGGATGGCTCCTCGAGAGAACCGGCTATCATATCAAATGTTCCACCACTTTCTTTAGTAGACAGTATTCAAGGAAAACCTTGATACATGCGATGGCACACCGAGCGAGCTCCAAGCGGTTTACGAAGACACAGGCGGCCCAAGCTCTCAATGTTATCCTTCTTTTTTTTTTCCTTTTTATGCGAACGTTCAGGCTAACGTGACATATGACATGTACTATTACATAACGACCGAATTTGACCACGCGAAACATGACTCCCGCCTTGCAGTATATGGAGGT